CCTATTCTAATTCTTAAGGCCCTTGTCTCATGGCGGTTCTACATGGGCTCTGCGAGGGTCCTGCAAGTAAGGCCTCTATCCAGGTTTATGGGCTTAAGCTTGGGCTTCTAAGACGTTTCGTCTCAGCCGAGTACAGGCTGCAGGACACTGTATGGCATGCTTGGAGGTTGATGGGTAGTTATAAGTAGGGTTATAAGTAGGGTAACTACAATTATAAGCCATATTAGGGGACTTATAACCCCACGTATCACTACCCATGAACCTCCAAGTGGATGTTGGGTTTGCAGGCTTGTTCTTTGTTTCCCGATTTCCAAAGTTCTAGAGGTGGTCGTCGCTCTCCTCGTGGTCGTTTGTGGTCCGGGTGGTCCTGGTCGTCGTGGTCGTGGTTGTCGTGGTGGTCGTTGTCGTCGTCCTGATATCTTCGCGGTGTACTTGGTGCGTGGTCTTTCACTACTTAAGGTAAGGACCCCTACATGTGGCACTTGCTGCTAGTGGGGAATACAGCATGTTGGGTTGGAACGTGGCAAGAGATTGTGGGTTTGGAGCCTGGGCGCCAAACCCTCAAGCTGTTGCCACAAACTGCAACAGTGCTCGTCGACAGGAACTACAGAACCTCTCCCGAAACTCTGCAAAGAAAACAGCCGGTCCAACCGTACAAATCTCTTCAACTGCTACACGCTCGTAGTCCCATTCCCCCACCAACAAGGCCCTTAACCTCTCGAAGTCCTTTCTAAACCGTAACCCCTACAGCCTTTTCATACAAAAAAGCAAGTCCTACCCGATGGTCCACGTGGAGCCTTAAAGGAATCTTTACTTGAAGGATCCTTGCCCCCCAAGACCTGAACCTTCAAACCCCACTCGCCCCTAAATCCCTATTCCCGAAACTCCCAAGCCCTAATTAGGGTTGAGGGTAGGGTTTAGGGTTTAGGGTTTAGGGTTGAGGGTTTAGGGTTTAGGGTTTAGGGTTTAGGGCTAAACCCTTGCCTAAACCTCTCCACCCCTAAACACCCGAAATCTCTATTCCCAGATGGTCCTCCCCGTGCTCCTGGCGCACCTGGGCCCGGCAGCCGCGGGAAAATGGCGCCTGGGCAGAGGAGTTCCGGAAGATTCCGTGATCCCTTAATAGGGTTTAGGGTTTAGGGTTTAGGGTTTAGGGTTTAGGGTTTAGGGTTTAGGATTTAGGGTTTAGGGTTTAGGGTTTAGGGTTTAGGGTTTAGGGGTTACCCAGAGAACCCAATACACCTTAATTAAGGAGTATAGACCCTAGATTATAGGGGCCTTAATATTATGATTTAAGGTATATTCCTTAATTGAGGGGTATTGGGTCCTCTGGGTCCATGATCCCTTAAGAACGGGTGTTGTATACGACACGAGTTCTGGAAGGGTTCTCAGAGGGCTACTTTTTTAGTTTTTGTCTGCGATTCCACTATTAGTGGTGTTTCTGGGTTCCTTTGTACTTCTTGTTCTTGTGAAGTACAGCCTTCTTGAGCGTTCTATGGGGAGTCCCATGCCCTCCTTCTGAGTATAGAGGGATCCTTCATCAACAACGGTACAGTAATTCACTGCTCGCCGAGCCGATAGCCGAGTTCACATCACTTGTCTCAGGGCCTTCCTTTTTTTGTTTAGGGCCTTAGGGCTTAGGGTCTAGGGTTTAGGGTTGGGTCATGTTCTTGTTTGTTTTGGCATCACCTCGGATGCTGCTACCATGACGCAACCATGACGACTTCGATTGAGGTCATCTTTATTCTTGCAAGTGGACAGTGGCACTGCTGTTCCCCCCTCCTTTTTCCATCCTGCTTGCAACTTTGCACTTGTGTTTTGATTACCTGTTTCTGTCTGGTGCTTAGTAGGGAATGGGGGAATGGGTTATTGGGACTACTATAAGGGACCTTAAGGGACCATCATAGGGGTGCCTTCCCCCATTCCCTACTAAGCACCAGGCAGTTTTACATGTCCCTTATTGCCAGCAGTGCTTCTCCTCGTCATGAATCCAGACTTCGAAAGCCTAGCCAGACACTCTCAACCCAGAACTGCTCAAGAGCCCTGGACCCTGATCCCTAATATAAGGGCCTAGATAGTTACCAAAACTATTCTGGGGATTCCTTATTGGGATATAGTATAATATAGCCCAAAACCCTATTCTAATTATCAAGGAGCTTACATTAAACCTCAATCCCTCTCCCGTTTTGCGTCCTGAAATTGAGTTTCGCGGCGCAGCGCTGAACCCTAAACCCTACGCCCAGGAAGGTGCCCGAAACCCTAAACCCCAAACCCCAAGCCCTCAACCCGGAACCCTACGCCCTATACCCTCAGCCCTTATACCGTTAAGCCCTAACAGAGATCCCCTAAACCCTCAACCCTAAACCCTATACGCCCAGGAAGGTGAAGGTGGCCTGCCTTGGGCTACTTCGCGACCTCCTGGCACAGGCGACTGCCAGCTGCCCAAGGCAGCTTGGGCTGTGGATGCCGCCCCTGGACTGCAGCTCTGTGAGACTTTTGGGTTCAAGGTTTAGGCCGGTTTAGAGTTTAGGGTTTAGGGTTTAGAGTTTGGAGTTTAGGGTTTAGGGTTTAGGGCTTTGAGTTTGGGGTGCCCTGAACCCCAAAACCCTAAGTCCCAAATTACGGCGAAGGCGAGCCCTGCCCTTGGATTTTGAGGCTTAAGCACTGAGTTTCAGGATTCGGAAGCGATGAGGCACACTAATAGGGTTTAGGGTTTAGGGTTTAGGGTTTGGGATCAGGCTCACTAAGATTTACTTTTGGGCGACAAGGCCTGCTTAAAAGGCCAGGCATCCTGCAAGTCATGGCGTAAGCCTTACGCCGCGAACCGTCACTCCGACCCTTCAACTCTAAACCCCGGGCCCACAACGAACTACTTTAGTTGAAGCTCTAAACCTCCACCACAAGCCCGAATGCCACAAGAAGGGTGCCTAAATCGTAGTCTTCTTACTTGCAGGGCTCATGTTTGGTTGGGAAAGTTGAGAAACGTATATCTTCCAACCAAATGGGAGTTTCCGAAAATTGGGGTACCTTATTTTGGGGATCCTTATGATAAGGATCCTACTATTTAGGGTACTTTATTAGGGTCCCCTATTTTCGGAAACTCCCAAATGTAAAAAGGGCGGAGGGCCCTAGGGAGTTCTGTGCTCCAGCCTGGACTCGACTCGTGCGGACCAGAACCCCTCAGTCCGGTTCATCTTAACATGGTTTAGGGTTTAGGGTTTTGGGTTTAGGGTTTACGGTTTAGGGATGCAGGTGGCTGGTAATGTGGGTTTAGGGTTTATAGGGTTTAGGGGTTTAGGGTTTAGGGTTTAGGGTTTAGAAGCCTGAATACTTTCTGGGTATAGTATACTATAACTGTAATAAGGAGCCCCCAGAAATAGTTACTTTCTGGGTATATTATAGTATTAACTGTAATAAGGAACCCTTAGAAATAGTATTGGTATCCATTTAGGCTCCTACAGTACGGCGGAACCCTTAGCCAAGTGCCGTCTCAGAGCCCAGGAAGGTGATGTCGTCTTTGAGGGATGCCGTGGGCGATGCCCGGAAAGAGGCCGAGCTCATAGACCTGTCGGGTTTAGGGTCTCAAAGCTGTACAAACCCACAAAAGTTTTGAAGCCACATCACTAAACCCTAAACCCTAAACCCTAAATCCTAAATCCTAATCCCTAAACCCTAAACCCTATATGTTCTCAACCTCTGTGATCCGGGATGCTGCACCTTGCAGGTGAACTTTACAGCTTTTCCGTGTGTTTGGTATTCACCTCCGGAGTTGGCGCTTCCAGCCCAATCAATGGTCCATGATTGCCGATGTAGGGGCTGCAGATTCGCGGTAAGAAGTATAAGGTTTGAAGCAGTGTATCCTAGGATTCCTCGTTGAAGCTGAAAGCCGTCGTAGCTTTCACCCACTAGCAACTTCATGCCTTGCCGAGGCTGATCAGTGCCCAAAACTCCAAACTCCGAAAGCGTCTAACTCCTTGAAGCCTGTGAACATCGTAGGTAGCCTGAGGTCAAGAAGGAACCCTAAGCCCTAAACTGTAAGCTCTAAACCCTAAACTTTAGACCCTAAACCCTAAAAACCCTGAGGTCAAGAAGGAGGCCGAATCCTTCCTTCGGAACATGGCCAAGGCGCCAGACGTTAGGTCTCAATGGGTTTGGACCCCTCTGGCTGGGGGTACCCTAAACCCTAAACCCTAAACCCTAAACCCTAAACCCTAAACCCTAACCCTAAACCACCATGTTGGCTTCAGGCTTGAGGGCTTTGGGCTACGTGTTTGGGTTTCGGCTTTGGGAGCGGTGCTTCAGCCTGGGTTTCTAGTTTTTGACCCGTGGGTTTGTCTGCAGCTGTGGTAAGGATGGAATCCCTAAACCGTAAACCCTAAACCCTACTTGGCGGGTCGGGGGACTTAGTAAGTGGGTAATAAGCAGGTTCCCTAGAAGGGATCCTAATTGGGGTTACGATACCTATAACTCTATAAAATAACTACTTACTAAGTCCCCCGACCCTCCAAGTAAGCCCTGAACCAAGCAGCTTTTGATGCTGACCTTGAAGCCCCCCCTCTTCTACCCTGAATCACTCTAAACCCTTACATGCGCACCCGAAACATCAAACCCTAAACCCT